CAACATTTTGATCGCTGTCAGCTTCTTCACCAGATCCACCATCAAGTGACAGTGACAATAATATTTGATTGTGTTCAGCACTTGCTCTTCAGTAAATCACTGAGTCATTTCAAGGTTTGCTGATGATACTTCCTATTCTTTTGTTTTCTGCCTGCAGTAACTATGAGTGAAACGTCACTTCATCACTGTGTATCAGATATTGACACCTTGTGGAATAAAGGTGAATTGTACTTATTTGGTCATCAAAGATTCAATTATTGTTGTGCAGAAAAAATATACTTACACTGTTACACACCTCGGGTCGTCAGCGACCCTATAAATGTAATTTTTTTTACAAAAATGAATGGGAAAACAGACATTATTTTATATGTTTTTTTTAAATTGTTCTTTCTTGTTATATTGTTTATAATGAATTGATCGAGGAATACTAAGAAGGCTGATGTCTAACTTTAAAAAATGAACGAGGAGGAAAGTAGTAAATGATGTTCCGGGTCACTAAAGACCCGAGGTATGCATTTAAGGGTTAAAGGGACGCTGCAAAAACATGTCTAGTCTATTTGTTTTGTGATAATAATCGACACACCACCTACATACCTACACCATAGATTAGAAAGTATTTTAAAACAAAACAAAACAGATTTTTGCCAATGTTTTTCAGTTGTTGGATCTCTCCCATTCCTCAGCTCATTGACACTGAGCCGGATTTTTGAGTTGTCTTTGGGAAGTTTGGCAACTCCACCTCATGTTTACTCTAAGTGTTGTTTCGGAGTAATTTGTCTCTGCGACAAACACACAGGAATGTTTCAATTGTATATCTCTTTTTCTCTGCATGCATTTCTTCCAGGAAGGATACAATAAATCAGAGGCGATCCAGTCTACTATGAGATGCATGATGTGTGATATAGGAGAGCCGCTCGTATAGACATACCATTCCCACACAGTGAACCAGTGCTGGGTTATATCACATACACCCAACTAATCTGCCATCACAGCCCTGACTTCTCTCATCTAAAGTCTGAACTCTTTTACCGGTCAAATGTAGACCATTGATGAAGCAAACGTCAAAGATGATGACATTTTATGCTTCATGTTCATGTTATAACATACAGAAATCCTAAGTATCTAATCTTCATCATCATGCAAAGTATGCGTGCAACTTATTCGGAATTCTATTGGGAGGAATGTGAGTTAATTATTTCAAGCTCGTGACACGCCTGCAGTGCTGTGGTGTATAACAGTCAACACTGGAGCAAGAGCTGTGATTTACTAAAGAGGTCAGGAAACCCTGAGACCTTTGCATGAAGGGAGTTCTGGGTAAGAAACAGAGACTGGAGAATCCTTTGAAAGGGGCGACTGGTTAATGATTCAGTGACCCACAATCTCTGTACAGACTCAGCTTGCTCATAGCTGCCATCGTCCCATCGGGTGCCACCGTGCCAAAATACGCACAGTTTTCTTTCAGGAACTGATCACATCTTGGTCTAATATATGTATTTGTGGTATCTTCTAAGGGCGCCTGATTCTCTTAAAAAGCCATAAAATGATACATAAAGGGCCTCTGAGGTTGTACATCGACATAAATCCTTTAAAAGTGATCACTGTTACATCATTACTTGCAGTAGAAGAATTATTATTGATTAAATGAAAATCAATATCATGACTTGTTCACTGGCGTGAGGGCGGGACAACCTGTCACTCACATGAGATCGACCAATAGCAAACCACAACCATCCAATCAGTTCCTGATGGACAAAATCAAGTCCCATTCTACACTTTTTCTTGTTCCAGAAGCCATTTCACTTGGATATACCGTACATCACAAAAGGGAAACTCTATTGCAACTTCCTTTTCATGGCGACTTCACTCAACTTTATACTTCACATTTAGTTGTGATAACGTTTAAATACTGTAAGTGATAGGACATTTTGAATTCAGAAATAGTTAATTGGTCTTATTTTTCACATTACAATTCTTTTGTATTTAGACTACTGCCATGTTACTTTTCTGACTTGAGTGTCGTATTTGGAGGTACGTATTTCCCAGGTGCACTTGAAGGCTTAGTCTGGGATTTTTCATCCATTTGTTTCATTCATGTTATCATGAGTTATCATTCGTGATTCAAACAACATTACAACTCATCGAAATCTTACAGCTAGCTGAGTTTTTACGTTATTCTCATGAAAGTGTTATGGATTAAAGAGTTTTTACTGTTTCATATTGTATTTTTCTTTTGGTCTATTTAAATCGGTTTTAAAATCATAGCATAATGAGGTTTCACCAAGTGCAACATGTTCCTGGAACAACATTCCAATCCACCAATCAGATTTGAGGGACAAGTTTACAGTTTATGTCAAGTTTAGTCTTACAGTATAACCAGGGTTAAGTGCTTCAACATCAGTGTTATTCGCCTATCATTTCCCTCTGATTTTAGGGATAACTTATAGGGATATGGTTAGGGGTATGGGTAGGGATGTAGTAAGGATTACATTTTCGGACAGGAATGTTGTTCCAGGATCAACAAAATTTGTTGACCCAGGAACGCAACTCGCAAAATCAGGACGTGCAAAATCATATGTCCCTGTTTGTTGCTCTACAGATGTTTTTACTGTTTACATTGTGGTGTACAAAAATGCATTTCTATATTTAGGAAGTGAAAATCAAATGACTTTATCAACAACATTTTCTTGCTCCACGCTCTACTACTCAACTCTCAAACTCCAGGGTGTGTTCAGCCTAAAAGAGGAACCAAAATACATAAATCCAAAGCAATAAAAAAGAGAATTAGAGAGTAGGCCTAATTGTTGATGCATCCGCCTATTTTTATTTTGGGATTTTGCATAAAAAGTGCTGGATGAAAACACCATGATGAAATTAAAAAAATGCGCATAAAAAAACACATGCGCTCAATTGAGGCGGATACATTTTTTATCCGATAAGAAGAAATGCACATAAACTACTGTATGATGAAAACACATTTACTGAATAAATCCCTTGAAAACTCACAAGACTTTGCCTCAACAGTGGATGTGATTACCAACCTGTAGATAAGTGTTATTATTTTGTCTGTGCGCTCTGAGGGAAGTCATTTATGATGTACGAAAAAAAAAGCCATATTTCTTAACCAATTGCAGAAACTAGCATTTTTATTACAGATATTTTGAACCAATTTCCCAAGAAGTAATGATTTTATTCTCTTGAACACATGGGACGGAAACACTGCTTTATTCGGAAATGTTTTATGCAATATTCCGATTTTGTGCATGAGTTAAATTTGCAACTTTGGAATGAAAACATAGGGTGTTTAGTTTAATTGTCTGTTCGTTCATGTGTCTAGAGGTACGTTTACGCGATGCAATGTACAAAAAACGGAACAGTTTTTCATTTGTGTTTTTCGTTTACAAATGACAACGTTGTCAAAATGATCCCCGTTAACATGGATCCGTGAAAACAACTAAAATGCTGTATTAGTCATGCCAGGCCAGTAGTTGGCGATGTCATGTTGTAAAGAAACTACACGCCTAGACTGAACACATATTACGCATGCGCATGATGTCACCATTTTCACAAATTCGCATGTTTTCCAATTGACACGGAGACAATAAACGGTATCGTTTTCAAAAACAGTCTTCAAAAGTTTGTGTTTTCAGGCCCCTAAAACGCTGTTGTTGTGTAAATGAACGCCCAAAAGCAATAAAAAGTTATTTGTGTATAAATACTCCCTGTTTTGTTCAGTTCTTGGATGGTTAAAGGGTTAGTTCACCCCAAAATGAAAATTCTGTCAGTAATTACTCACCCTCATGTTGTTCCAACCCCGTAAGACTTTCGTTCATCTTCGGAACACAAATTAAGATATTTTTGATTAAATCTGAGAGCTGGATCACTCCTCCAGAGGCTTCTTAAGGGATCGAAACTGGCCGGCCCAGTTAAAGACATCGTTAAAATAGTCTGAGTGACTACAGTGGCTCAATATTAAGTTTATCAAGCGACGAGAATACTTTTTGTGCGCAAAAAAACAAACAAAAATAACGACTTCATTCAACTAATCATTTCCTTTTCTCTGGGCCTCGAGATTTCACGTAGTGATATTGCGCAACGGTTCTGTGTTGCACGTCACACGCAGGCTCACTATTGGCCGATGCTGGTCATGTGTGTGATGCGTGTGACGTACAACCTAGAAGCGTTGCACAGTTTCACTACATGAAATCTCGAGGCCAACAGAGAAGGAAATGATTAGCTGAATAAAGTTGTTCTTTTTGTTTGTTTTTTGCACACAAAAAGTATTCTCGTCGCTTGATAAACTTAAGATTGAGCCACTGTAGTCACTCAGACTATTTTAACGTTGTCTTTCATAACTTTTCGATCCCTTAAGAAGCCTATGGAGGAGTGATCCAGCTCTCAGATTTAATAAAAAATATCTTAATTTGTGTTCCGAAGATGAACGAAAGTCTTACGGGGTTGGAACAACATGAGGGTGAGTAATTACTGACAGAATTTTCATTTTGGGGTGAACTAACCCTTTAATAAAGACATTGATGTATGGTTTGATAGATGGCTCCTGTAATTCTCCTGCATGTTTTTAGACTGTTTAATGATACTGCCTTCTCCCTGCATGTTGTTTACCACAACATTCGGGACAGAAATATTGTAAACAATAAAATAACAAATTCATCATTTTAACTCGTGATTTTTTGCAGGATAAAGATTTTAAATTTAAGATGTGTAACCGGCCATGCGGTAAAATACCATGCAATCCAAACAATAATTAAAGTGCTGCAAATCTTGCAATAGTTCCCATATTTGTGGTTCTCTAAAGAGACATTTAAGCTATACATGCTTTTGTTTTTTTTATTTTTGTGCATTTACAACGCTGTTCTTAATTGACATAAGTAGGAGGAGAGAGGAAACCCATTCAGTGCAACAGGCGGTGACCGTCCCCACCTCAATTGTCTCTCTTTTCATTGGTCTTCCTAAAGTCCGCAGCCAATTCAAAACCACATGCCACTTTCTACACTCCCCCCACAAGTCACAGACAGCGTGGAGAGTGAGAGGGGTCGAAACAAGAGGGAGAATCACCAAAAGAGGAAGAACAACAGAGGCAGAGAATTTGTTAAAACATGCCAGCGTACGCCACCAACATGAGGCTCAAGTTCCCCATTCTGGCCTTGATACTGGAAGCCGTGACCATTGTCCTGTACGCTGTCTTTGTGGTTTATGACACCGGTGATGCTCATGGTGGGGGTCATCATGAAGAAAAGAATAACACTCATCCAGACAGTCCAATGACCCTTTATCCCAGTAAGTATCTGTCAGATTAATGTACATGTGTGCATATATCAGGTCTTGTTGTGACATCTAAATTGATTGGTTTTAATTAAGTCTAAACTTTTATTGGAATGTTATTTCACTGACGAAACCAGAACGCATCAGGTTACTCCAGTGAATGCATTTGTAAGGGTCAGATATGGAAGATATAGTTGGAAATTGGTAGTGATTGGTGCAGAAATGTTGTTAATTGTCAGTCACCATACGCATAGTAAAAGTTGAATAAAACTTTGCTGGATGATTTGGTGTCGCCCCTCCTGCAAATGAATTCATCCACTTTTAAGCTGTCAACTTTGCTATTGAGTTTCATGGTGCTACTCACTCATCAGCGTTCACTGACTGAAGGGTTTATTTCTGCGAAGGCTTTGGCGGCAATGTTTCACTAATGTTCATTCAGCACGCAAGTCTCTAAAAATACTCCCTCTGGAGAGGAGTCAGTGCCATGGGCTCCTGCATTCTCGGGAGAAAGACAAAGAGGAGAGGTTGAAAAAGTTCAGCTTTTAGTATTTTAACAATGTCATCCATCAAGCTTTTCCATTGGTTCTGATTCAGGAACCAGATCTTACACTGGACATTTACTGGTGACTCAATACAGTACAAAATGATTGAATGTCCAAACAAAACAAAATGTCTTTAGGACCAAATATTTACATTTTTTTAAACCTACTATGAACATTATCAGTTTAACTATAAAATTATTAACAAGACATACTGTAGGCTGGATAGAAAAACTGACCAGTTTGGATCTAATTGCATTGAATGTTTATTCCATGCTCTCAACTGCCAATAATTGCACATTGGAAACATATAGCTTTAACGGTTTTCAATGTTGAACATGTCCATGTTGGCATTTGTGTAGATTCTACGAAATGACAAATAAATTTGAACCAAAATACTGCAGAGTTTGTGTGTGTAACATAGTCTGGATCTTTTTTTTTTTCTTCCTTGCATAGTTTTGTTAATAGTTTTCAATGTTATATTCATGCTGGCATTTGTGTAGATTTTACGCAATGGCAGATGAAGTAGAAACAAAATACTGTAGAGTTTGATTGGACGTACATAATTGTCAACAATTAAAGATATAGGAAACATTCTCCCCTCGCCTAAAAACGTTGATAAGCTTGTTTATTTGGGGTTGTGACCATCTGAGGACCACTGATATAGAGAATTTGTTCCCTTATGAAAGGAATTATTCATTCAGTCTGTACATTTCCTCATAGATGTTTCCAACATCAATTGCATTCCTTTATTTTTCTCTGCATGCTATGCTCGTTTGCAGAGATGACATGCATTGGCTGTAAAATGCCCTTATTTCCTTTTATCTTCAAATTGCACTCGTATAGTTGCTTGCTTGGACACGGTTTGGACTGAAACCAGCTCTAGGGTGTGGAGAGGATGAACATGCAAGATTAGTCTCAATGTCACATGTGTCCTCAAAGTTTCCATTCAACCCTTCAAAATTTGTAACCTGCATAATTTTCTTAAAGTTACAAGTACATTGGACTTTAATGAGTTTAGCTCCAGCCTTGATCAAATTTGCCTGCGTGTAACTTTATAGTAATCCTGAAGACCTCCATTAGCTTGTTCAGGTGTGTTTGATTAGGCTTGGAGCAAAAATCTGCAGGAAAGTGGACCTCGGGGGCCAAAGTTCAGAACCCCTGTATTAGAGCATTCAAATTATTTGCCACCCAATGAACTTGATGACCTTTAAAAACTATTAAAAGAAAACATGAAAATTAAATAAAAATAAAAAGCATATGTGTTGATAGACTGGGAAAACTAAGGCCATCTGTTACTTTTGTACAAACATGCAAAGCATTCCAAAAATGAATGAGAAAAGCTTCAAAGAAAAGAAAATAAAGGGCACTTTAATCTTGGCAGCAGAGAAAACAGCTATAGCTAAGTTATGTCACAGCGCTCTAAATTAGCGCTGACAGAATGTAATTAAGTCGTTGAACATTCGCGAAGAGAGGAAACTTTCCACCCATTACGAAAATGGGACCTTTGAGATTTTATCAGCAAATCTGTTGCATGTGGGAAATACGAGAAATTTAACTGGGAAAATGATTCTGTTTGTTGTAAGAGCCAATGGTTGGGAAAAATGGATTGTGCACCTTTACTCAGCCGGCAAGTTGATCTGTATTCCTCTATGATGCTCTTCCAAAGTAAGCATACATTACATAGCCAGTGAAAAGTCCTTTAGCCAACTCTATCACTGTAAATATGTTTTCAACAGAAAGATCAGAGGAAAAGTCTTGGGTCATACAACAGCTGATAAGGGTAGATAACCTCTGTTTCAGCTGTGTCAGAGGCCCACTTAAATGTTTTTTGGGGGGGTTTCAGCAAGACAGCATTTTATTGCTCAACGACCATCAAAGACTAGTGACAATAAAGTAAACGATTGGTTGAATACAGAGTTAAAAAAAACACTACTGTGGTACCACAACTGGGTTGGAAGTAAGAAGGATGGGAAGGGCTGTGGTGATATAACAGCTAGATCCTATCAAATTTTGGGGGATCCTTTGTTGAGATGTTTTCTGTGAAACTTCAAAAAATGACTATTGAGAATAGAGTGCATGCAGTTATAGATCACGTTCTCTTGTTTGTTTGTTTTTAGATGGCTTGCATAGCAAGATAAGACTGAACTTTGCTGATTTTTAATCATTGCATATTTATCTGAAGTTTTCCTGTTTAGTCTGTTTTTACTGTCTCACCGTATAGCTCTTTTTACGGTCTGCTGTCAGCATGGAATATGTTATAAAATGAGGATATGATCGTTTATAAAGAGAGCAAGCAATAAAGATATATAGCAAGCTATAAAAATATGCAGCTATAGCAAATAAAAGTGCCTCTATAAGCTTAGTTGCTAGTACTTGCAGGGTTCATTGGCTATCTTGATGAGCTTAGCAGATGTCAGACCATGAGCACTATGATTGATGACTATTTGGGTTTGTCCACTGGCAGGTTTAGATTTTGTGTGGATTATTGAATGGGTGGAGGGTTTCAGAGGCATTCCGAGGAAGCCTGAAGTAATGTTCGCCTATTCAAAGTCTGGTGCCGCACCTTGGAGGTTCACCCTTCGCAGTTCCACTTGCCTCTCTTGGGACTGACAATGAGACCCGTTTAAACTTCCTGACAATCGTTAATGTGTCTGATTATTATCAGTAGGGGGACAATGATATGGTTTGCATTGTGTAGTCTGAAAACGGGCCTTGCTGATGAATCAGGTGTTCTGGACCATATCCTATCTCTGTGTCCAGGGATGTTGACTGTACAGCTTCCTGAGCTGGAAAGTGTAGAGCTCATTTCCTCTCTGCAGGAAAGATGGGCTAAGGCCAGCAGTGTTGGTGCTATGTGTTACTAATACAATCAATGTGTGCATTTAAGTACTGTGAATTCATACCATTTTTTATACTGTATAGGCCCAAGTGTATCTATTTACTCTTAGCAATTCCTTGCTTCTCTTGAAAAGCAATCCGTTTGCTGTAATTAACTTACTACATCCATCCACATCCCGGCAGGGAAACACCCTGGATGGATTGCCAGAAAGTAATTTAATTAAAAATGCAGCAATATAATATACATCATAGCAATGAAATGATTAATCTGTGAATCAGTGTCACTCAATTTCTGACATGGTTTCCATTCCCAATTGGCAGTATAATTCATGAAAACAAATGATTTCAGGTTGCTTTGTCACTGCAAATCTCTGGTACCCCTTTTCCACCAAAAACGAACTGGTTCGGAACTGGTGCTGGTTCAAAGTTGGTTCGGAGTTGGTTCAACTTGCGAACCTTCTCAGTTTTTCCACTGACTAGAGCGCCCAGCGAACGACGTCGTTATGTCACTGTGTACGTCGCCATACATCTTAGCTAGAAACGCTTGCAAGTACAACATTACTTTGGGATTATCTCTAACTCGTGAACCAAGAAGGCTTTGAAAACAATTGAAATATGTAAGTCTTTTAATATTTTCCTTTGATATGTAATCTTTTCTGATTAGTTATGTACTCCTGTCTTGTGTATTTTTTTTCTTTCCATTTATTTGTTCTATATTGTGACTGTTTTCTTCTTTGTTTACATAACGTTTTCAATAAAAAAATTGATAAAAAAAAACTAGAAACGCTTGCGCCAACTTCAAGCATAACAATTACAATGGCGGACTACATCGTGTTTCTGCAAATGTTTCTCCTGGCTTTGCGATCCTATATTATGTCAGAAAATATGTTATCTAAACCCGCCCCCAGCCCCCGACGTAAGCATGACGTGGTAAAAGAACGGTTCTAGTCCAGCAAAGAGTTGGTGCCGCTTTAGAACCAGTTTTCCTGGCCGAGAACCGGTTCTTTGGCTGTCGAAACACAAAGAACCGGTTCGCGCGCAGGCACCGGCTCCGAACCGGCTCTCAAAATGCGTTGGTGGAAAAGGGGTATGGGTGTGTTTATGCTTTTTGTCAATCCAAATGAATCCGTTTCAGATTCTGAAAGTTCTGGTCATATGTACTTTAAACTTTGCAATCAGGGTCACATATTTGTTTACATGTGCATTACATTAGTGCATGTGCGGTGCCCAGTCAACGCTTTCTGAAACATAGAAAGCCACTTCGAAAACATCTTAAGGCTTGTCGTGTTGCAGACAGTTAGGGCACTGAAAAGGCTGGATTGCCTGAATGTAACTAATCATGGAATAAGTACATTTTTAACGCTCATTAGAGTCATGTGAAGTGAATAAAATTACACACGCCAACAGGGTCACTAAGGGCACCTTCTTAACCTGTCATTCATAGACTAATAGAAGAGCACACAAGACCTTTGTACCACATGGTTTTTGGCTGATGAACATGAGCGTTACAAATTTGCAAGGTTTACTCTTAAAGAGACTTTTTTTTAATGCTGAGCAGAACTGTGTTGCTGTGTAAAGATTCTTGGGGTGCAATTATTAATCAAGAATTACTTAACTGCTTAATATATTATGCATTTTCTCTTGTACTTTAAAAGAAACAGGTAACCTTGAAAATAAATTTCGGTCATCTGTCATTTACTCGCCCTCATGTATTTATTTTCTTTTAACACAAATCTTCATGCAGTACTCTACCAGTCAAGCTCTACCACCAGGGACAAAAATAGCTAAATATCATAAACTTTGTTCATTTAATCTGTTTGCTACATTTCCTAAGTCATAAAATAGCTTTGTGTGATGACCAGAGTTGTAAATCACTGCTATAATGCAGCAGTGCACCTTTTCATTGGTGACCTGTTCAAACTACTGATGGAGTAAATGTGGTTCTAATGCTGTGAATAACTTCAGGCTTTAGATGTGGAGAAACCACTCTCTCATCAACCTTTTATCCATGTGTCCAGTGTTTCAGGATGTACACGTGATGATCTTCATTGGGTTTGGTTTCTTGATGACCTTCCTAAAGAGATATGGCTTCAGCAGTGTGGGCCTCAACCTGTTGCTGGCTGCCTTTGGCTTGCAGTGGGGTCTTCTCCTCCAGAACATCTGGCACTTGCATGATGGAAAAATAAGAGTCAGCATTGACAGGTAAACTCATCCTTTTGGTGACCGTAGGATCTTGGGTGACTGACTTAATATAGCTGCTCATTATTTTATTATCCAACAAAATAGTTAAATGCTAAATGTTCAGTTACATTTAACTCAATTAAACTTGAAATAGATATCTGACTACATATGCCTATGAGTAAAACTCTGCATCTGTCCCGTAATTCCTTCTCTACAGAATGATTAATGCTGACTTCAGTACAGCAACGGTTCTGATCTCGTTCGGAGCGGTTTTGGGGAAAACCAGCCCTGTCCAGCTTCTCATCATGACCTTGTTGGAGATCACCATCTTCTGCATCAATGAGCATGTGGTTGTGGAAATTCTTGGGGTTTGTAAAGGCTCATTCGTTCATTTACTTTATTCGTCATTTTAGTGTTTTTTGGGGGGGAATCAACGTTGACGCCTCTTCCATTCTTATTTGACCACTAACTTGATTTGCACCAGATCAAGGGTTTAGTGCAGGTTAAACATTATACATAATTTTAGTACTACTTCTAATTTGGTTGAGTTGCATTAATATCGTTAGCATGTTCATGCTGTCTGAGTTCCTGCAAAGTAATTAAATTACAAAAGGAAGCTCGGTCAAAGATGAAGGGAAAAGGCTGTTTTCTATCTCCTTCCTAAAGTTGACAGGATAAACTTGATGACCACACCCAGTGTTCTAATAACAACTAAAACACACGCTATCATAAGCACCCTCTCAGTCATGAAGAAGATATAGTGCCTGGATTGCCTGGGAATAAAGGAAATGAATGATGTGATGAATCTGATATTGAACAGTGATGGCACCGCTACAAAATAAACTTTACCTTAAAGCTGCAGTCAAACTTGAACTTTTGGGCTACTGAAAGTTTTTAATCTGTTCTTCATAACCATTCTTGTTTCTTAACAGGTTTCTGATGTTGGTGCCTCCATGACCATCCATGCTTTTGGGGCTTACTTTGGATTGTCTGTCGCTCGTGTTCTTTATCGTCCAGGTCTTCGGAACGGCCATGAGAATGACGGATCAGTCTATCACTCAGACTTGTTTGCAATGATCGGTATGTGTAGACCTTGGTGTTGAAAATATATATGCCTGCAGAAAATCTAGTGGACAAAACAACTCTAGAAAATATTGGTGGTGACATTGAGTTTTAACGTACTGTACTTCTGTAGCTCACAACATTTATGTCAAATCAAATAATTAAAGTGCAGGGCAGTCTCCATTTTGCGATTTGGTAAGCATACCAACACTAAAAATGTGCTTAGAAAGGTGATCATACAAATGTAATTCATCAAGCATTGTGTCTGTATAGGTACATTCACCATTCCACTCTCCTTGGGTCTGTAGGCACAGTCTTCCTGTGGATGTTCTGGCCCAGCTTTAATTCTGCTATTGCTGAACCTGGTGATGCTCAGCTGAGAGCTGTTATCAACACATATTTCTCCCTGGCTGCTTGTACTCTCGCTGCCTACGCTACCTCGAGTCTGGTGGAGAAGAAAGGGAAACTTGACATGGTGGGTCATCATACCAGTCTCTTGTTATTGTACCAAATCTCACATTTAGTAAAGCCTTGTGACTAAGCCTGTTGTATTCTGTTGCACAGGTTCACATTCAGAACGCCACACTGGCTGGAGGTGTTGCGGTGGGTACCTGCGCCGACATGGACATCCAGCCATTCGGAGCAATGCTGATCGGAACCATTGCAGGCATCATCTCCACCGTTGGCTTTAAGTTCCTCACTGTATGATATTCTTTCACATCCCAGACATTCTCTATACCACAAATCAATCGCATATTGATCCATCTTTGTGTCTCTCTCCTCAGCCCATACTCGCCTCCAAACTGGGAATTCAAGACACCTGTGGCGTGCATAACCTCCATGGCATGCCGGGCATCCTAGGCGGTCTTGCCGGCATTGTGGCGTCAGCACTGAATAAGAAAGAAGGGTAGCTGTCAGCTCTTAACATTTTGTTTGGGGATTTTTGCTATTATCAGTATGGCAATAAATGGTTTTAATATGTCTGTGCTTGTTTGTCCCAGTGCTTCAGCAGCTCATCAGGCAGGGGGGTTGGCATCATCTCTAGGGTTTGCTTTGGTCGGTGGGTTGATCACAGGTGGGTACTGATACAAGCACCATACAATCTGCAAGACATTGTATTTATGCATTTATTTTTATTCAGATCTAATTCATTTTATTCAGATCAAAACCATATGAAACCAACATGAATTCAAAGAGTACACTTTTTTAACTTGGCACATGCATTTTAAGTCGATTTTTGGACACACTTATTTGTCACTGACCCACTTAACAAAAAAAAAGTATAACCGTGTATAAAAAAAACACAAAGTAAACTATTTTTCATACCTCCTCCAGGTCTGATTATGAAGATTCCATTTTTGGGACAGCCACCTGACCAAAACTGCTTTGATGACTCAATCTTCTGGGAGGTACGTCAAGTAAGGGATAATGTACATCCAGCCGGTTGTTACCGCAGAATAAACCCCGACAGGGTGATGAGGACCCCGACGCGAAGCTGGATGTACATTATCCCGCTTATTACACGGCTACTTGCCACATAAGTAAATAATTAGACATGAAATATTGATCTAAGTTGAAACATTGTATCAGCTCTTTAAACGCAAAACACTAGGAAAAAACTTTCCTAGCTAGCGTAAAGTTACCCAGATGAGCCTGTGTTATCAGTTTTTACCGGGAAACAACATACCGCTGGATGGAGCGATTGACCAATCAGAATCAAGTATTCCACAGTGCCGCGTAATAAAAAAAAGAGAAATTACTAAATGCTATTTAGTAATACATGGTCATAACATTTTTAACATTCATGAAAATGTCTTGTAGCTTATAATTTTGGTAATCGTGGATGCTTTTAATATGCAGGTACCGGAGGAAGAGGAAGAAACCGAAGAGCGTTTGACTCATGGAGATTATTCCCCGAACAAAGCAGAGGCTTAAAGCTCTGCTTCAAACCAACTTCACAAAACAAGAGCCAATAAGGTCCAATAAGCACCTCAGGAGCTTTTCAACCCGCATCTACACCACTAAAATCTTTAACAGCTGTTAAGGATTTTAGTTTTAGCTTTTAGCTGTTAAAGACACTAGTGAACATGAAGCATGGATTCTTTTTGTAAGTGGTGCATTTCTAAAAACATGTAGCTAAAATTTTAAAACATGCCATTCATATTATTAAACTGATAAGTGGTCTCTAAAATCTTCTAAGTGTAGGCATTATAACACTGTAGCAAATGTGTTGTTTCAACTTAAAAAAGTAAGTGTTCATGCTGCCTTCAATTTTTTAGTTTAGTCAACTCAAATAATATCCAAGTAGTCACTTAGTACAACTTCATAGTTGATTAAACTTAAAATTTTAAGGCAGCACGAACACTTACTTTTTTAAGTTGAAACAACAATTTATTTTTCACAGTGTATAGCCTAAAGAAATGTAAGTTGGTTAAAGTGTATTACCAAAAAGTTACTGAGGTAACTCAAAGTGCGGGTCAGTTATTGTTGTCATCTGCTGAACTGCACTTAACAGACACTGACTGACTAGTTGCTCACTGTAACATGCCAAATATCTGAGCCAATGTGAGACTTCTTTCTTAAGTGCCTTTTATCAAAATTAATTTTGCTTTGAATGAGCTTTTTTATTTTCTACAGACCCAGTTTTAATCATCACTAGATATGCATTTTGCTTTCATATTATACTTTTTTACAATCATCCCAATTAGTCCACATCCAAAGAGAGATCCTCCAACTTTCTTTCAACAATTATAGTTGCTTATTATTGTGATCAGTAACTACCCTTTATGCAATGATATAAGAAGTATTTAAAACTATTGTATTCTGAAAAACTAACAAATATAGTGTTGACTTTTATATTTTCCACACAATTTCTAATCATATAATATGAACTCAGGCAAACAGTGGCCCCAAAAAGTATTTCAAGTCCCATTTAAAATTGTATATAAAACATAAAAATGTAAATAAATAATTAAAATATCAAATAAAGTGACATGTATTTAAAACAAAGATAACCACGCACACTTTTCCAGGTTGTTAGGTTTAAAAATATGAAACAACAAGATATACACTGATAAAAAAGATTACATTTTAATTTTAATTTGGCTAAAAATATACATTTTGGACACTTTCTGGTTGTGAAGAAACTGCTCAAAGGACTAAAGGACACTGGGACCAACTGATTAAATGTAATGGCATAAATGGCTAAGAAATGTGAAGTTAATTCTGAGGAAAAGTTGCAGCGTCATTAGTCTTCAGTGTGATGTAGTGTCCAAATACATTTTGGGGCCACTGTATATTATATCTTTGAAACTTTTTGTCAGGATTATTGTACAACTATGATGTCATACAACAGCATTACATAAAAGCTCTTTTACTGCATTGCTTGAACTTTCAGCTCGTAGTACAAATAAGCTGACGTGATCGGACAGTCACTGCTTGCACTTGGTAAGACTGCCAAATGCCATGTTGTTTTAAGATCCTAAGGCTATGGAAAAACTCCTTGCAAGCTGACTTACTGATTTATTTTTTTGTCTTTGAATGTATGTGTTCCCACATGCCTCACTCCCAAACCTCATCAATTCATTGTATTTGAAAACTCTGTGAATGTATTAAACTTTTACTGTCATTTATAAAATCAGCATATCTGAATTTTTTTTTTTTTTAATTATATTTAAAGGGTTAGTTCACCCAAAAATGAAAATTCTGTCAGTAATTACTCACCTTCATGTTGTTCCAACCCCGTAAGACTTTCGTTCATCTTCGGAACACAAATTAAGATATTTTTGATTAAATCTGAGAGCTGGATCACTCCTCCAGAGGCTTCTTAAGGGATCGAAACTGGCCGGCCCAAAAGTTATGAAAGACATCGTTAAAATAGTCTGAGTGACTACAGTGGCTCAATCTTACGTTTATCAAGCGACGAGAATACTTTTTGTGCGCAAACAAAACAAACAAAAATGACGACTTTATTCAACTATTCATTTCCTTCTCTGTGGGCCGTGATATTTCACGTAGTGATATTGCGCAAAGCTTCTAGGTTGTACGTCACACGTAGGCTCACTATTGGCCGACGCTGGTCATGTTCGTGATGCGTGACGTACAACCTAGAAGCTTTGCGTAGTTTCACTACGTGAAATCTCACGGCCCACAGAGAAGGAAATGATTAGTTGAATAAAGTCGTTATTTTTGTTTGTTTTTTTGTGCACAAAAAGTATTCTCGTCGCTTGATAAACGTAAGATTGAGCCACTGTAGTCACTCGGACTATTTTAACGATGTCTTTCATAACTTTTGGGCCGGTCAGTTTCGATCCCTTCAGAAGCCTATGGAGGAGTGATCCAGCTCTCAGATTTAATCAAAAATATCTTAATTTGTGTTCCGAAGATGAACGAAAGTCTTACGGGGTTGGAACAACATGAGGGTGAGTAATTACTGACAGAATTTTCATTTTTGGGTGAACTAGCCCTTTAAGGATGCTAATGTGTGATGTGAGTAACAGAGATTGTGTTCTGTAAAAAGATATGTTTAGTGCTGTGCTGTGGTATGGCATGGTATGTTATACTCCATCTAATCGAACTATTATAAATTATATTATGCATGGTAACCAGATATACACTTTTCTTTATACATTTACTTAAACAGCCCAATCTCAAGGTTTATGTAAAAAAAAAAAAAAAAAACGTGTTGGCACGTCAACTATTTTATTTACGCCTGTGTTACTTGCCTGTGCCTTTTATTGAAGTAGTTAATTTTCCTTTGAATAAGCTTTGTTTTTACAGACCCAATTTTTATCATCACTAGAGATGTATTTTACCCAATGCTTTCATTGTGAATGTTTTTTATTTGTTTGTTTTGTGTTACAATTATGCCAATAGAGTTATCCAGGGATGACATATTTTTGTAGGCCAAAACCTTTCGGGTTTTTGTCGAGGGAACCAGGGTGCAGTCTCGTGTAGCCAGACCTTTAGACCCACGGCAGAATGTTTGGACTCCATTGCAGCTTTCATTGGCCAAGGACTGACATGTAAAGCAACCAATCACAGTTTGCTCTGTTCCGTATCATGTTTAGGGACGTGAAAATGTAACGTCGCTGTCTTTACAATAACAGACCAGTGTTGAAAACTCTTGGTTGTATTTTAAAGAGTCTATGCTGCAAACTTTACATACTTTTGAAAATCCAGAGTTTAGCTGATCTGATAAGCACTCATTGTCACAGTTGTAAACACAACGGCTTGCTTCTTCCATCAGAGGGTTTGGCGTTACGGCATCTTTAGCCACTTTTCCACCTGACCGGTTCCAGTTATGTTTCCACTTGAGCTTGGTTTCGGCACGGCACGATTACAAACCGTTCTCGGCCTGGAAATCTCAGCATGTTTGTCTATCCGTGCCGAACCGTGCTGGTAGAATGCATATAGTGACATCGCCACTCAGGATTGGTCAATTGTCTGTTGCCTGGCTAGCAGTTTCTCTGTAGCTGGGTCCTTGGGTGTGACGTCTGAGACTAACCAGGGTGAGGCAAACTTCCAGGTTGGCCTACAAAAAGTACGCTACAGCACTCTATTAGTCAACAACCGAAAAAGAGATCCTTCAACGTTCTTGCAACAATTACTGTTGCTTTTTATTGTGATCAGTAACAACCCTTTATGCAATGAAATATGAAGTATTTATAACGATATATCCTGAAAAACTAACAAACTGCAATAATGTTCTTTTTAGAGACAGCATGGGGGTGGCAACAATTTAGTTTAATTTACTCGATGGCGGCCCCTGTTGGAAAAGGTATGTATGGCAGAAGAAATTTACCCTCCTGAAGCTATTTAATTATGCATTTTTATCTATTGTATTAAATTAAAAAACAATGAAATATGAATTACTTAATCTATAAACAAAGGGTCCAGTTAATTTATATATAAGCAGTATTGGGTTACAAACAGATAAGGGAGAGTTTCTGCTTTCTGGCTTGACTTTTATGCTTTCTTAAGAATAAGACACAACACGCAGAAGAAACTGTTTATTAACATGTAGTAGCGTTTCAATAAAAGAGATGTAAACATTGGTAGCATATCTTGTCTGGCAGTACCCATGGGCAGTACCTTCTGATCCCATGTGTCCTCCATTATGTTAAAAAGCGGCACATTTTATCCTGATGTGTGTGACGGCCCAGAAAGCAGAATTTAAATGTCAGGATGTGTTTTGCCACCTAAAAAAGTTTTGTAAACTAAAATCGGCTATAGGCTACAACTCGTTTTAATATATTCTCCAACAAAATTGGAATTCTGCTAGAGCCATAGGCTACATATTATTGTTTGTTAAATTGTCATTTAATGATCAATAATGACTAATCATAGACATATAAAAAATTGACACCGGGGTGTCAAAATAGCCAGGGATCTTTACTTCAGTACACGAATGAGAGTTATGTTGCCCGGACCAATATGGCGGCGCCGTTGACGTACGATCCAGTGGCCAATGAGGCGTCTGTATGTTGATGCCTGTCAGCGATTAGAAAAGTAACAGTTATCACCTGATAACGTCGTCTTCGTGCCGCTTCAAAAACGGACTGGACAAAACGTTTATGAATGAATAAGGATGTAGAGAAACTTTATTAGCAAATGAATTGTAAATATACAGTACATCGACAATTTAATTGTATGCTCGTGTGGGTCGTGCGCCTGCGCTGCAAAGCAGTACCCGGATAATTTAGTTTGTATGACGTAAAATAAGATGGCCGCGCAGTGGTGTTTATCTTATTGATACTCACGCACTGATCACAGACATGAAAAAGAGGCATTTAAATGCTCCGCAGTCTATTTTAAGCACGGATTATATTCATATTGTGCTATTCCTCTGATTTTTCCGATTTTTGTTGTGGGCGGAAGGACCGCATTTTGAGGATAGTTTAACATAAACATGGTAAACTGTTGAACCGCTTGCATTAAAGACAACAGTCTCGTTGATCTTCAGATAAAGCTGTAATTCTCTGGTTTAGGTTCACAAGCTTTTGTTTCTATTTATATAGATGAAGTGTAAATGTTTTGTGAAGTAAATGGTTGTAGAATGATTAGTTTCTTGTGCGAGAAGAACTTGTGTAAATTCTAGTCATGCCTGCGATTCACCGTCCATGTTTTGAACATTTGAAAGGATCTGGATGTTCAGTTTTATTTGTTTCGTTTCAGTCTGCCAAAGTGGACCGAAGGGAGAGAAGTGAGTCAAGTAGTTCTCACAGCAGAGGTGAGTTTCAAGACAGCTGAAAGGAAAGAAAATGTGGAGAACAGGATCACTAGCCGAACATGCAGGAATCATTTTGCTTACAGTGTTTTAAATGTATCAACAGGAAGAGAAAACCGGAAGCGGGCAAGGAGCCGTAGCAGGTCGTCCTCATCATCTTCCAGTTCTTCATCTTCCTCCTCCTCCTCGTCATCATCCTCTTCTTCACGCTCTTCTTCCAGCAGTTCAACGTCACATAGTAACTCCAGCTCCAGTAACTCAGGTAAGTTCAATTCAAAATACTATATTAAATCATTTACTCATTGAAAAAAGCAATTAATAAAAGTCTTGCTTCACTCTCAAGTGTATAGTCCTTAAAAATAAATTATGTAGGTGTAAAACTGCACATACTTCATTAACAGGAAAGAGGAAATAATTTAAATTGATAAAATAAAGATTTATGATGTAGCAGATGAGATGCAAGAAATGTCAATGTGTTTTGTGCTTCTGCTGCCAGATTCTTGCAAAAAGCAAAGCAAATCTTCAAAGAAAGGGAAAGAGAGACATGGCAAAAAGGTATGGATGAATCTGTACATTTGTGTACTTCGGTCAAGAGCAAGTATTAAAGGACAGTTCTCACAAAAGTAAAATTTCTGTAATGTAATAACATAGAATGACCAGGGACTGTCAGGTTCCAAAATAAGTTTTTGTATTTGATTTATTATTTTAGAAAGGAAGAAAAGAGAAGATACGCAAGCGAAAGAAGGAAAAGGGACACAAAGAGCAGGACGACAGCTCTGGACCTGTTCAGATTTCAAAGGTGCTCGACTCAAAACCTCATATTGGGCATCATATTTGAGCAATGTACCGTGGTGTTTTTTTTTGTTGTTTTGTTTTTTGTAAAAAGTGATATAACAGAATTTCTGTCATCCCCAGTATCTTAAGGAAAAGAAGAAAAGTGGCAAGTACAGTATGATATCAGGAAAAAAGATTAAAATGAAAGTGAAAAAATCAAAGAAAGACAAGCAGGTGAGTTTTGTCGTTGTTGTGATATTACACATCATGAAAGAAATGCATGATTAAACATTTGATTTTTAAGAGGACCTATTATGCTCTTTTATAGTTTCAACTTTCTATAGAGTGTAATGTTGCTGTTTTAATAATTTGCCATTTAAATAAAATGCCATTTAAATAATTCCCGCCCAAGGCATACGGAAAAATGGGACGAGGCCTGGTTGAGTTGTGTTAGTTGTGTGTTAAAACACACGGGTTATGGTCAGGGGTGTGACATTTCCCAAACACGCTCAAAGCGGTTGACCAATCACAACACACTGTCCAGCCGACCAATCAGAGCACAATGCGCCTTTCGGAAGGAGGGGCTTCATAGAGACAGAACTAAACGGAGCGCTATGGAAAACAACAGTCAAACCAAAATTTATTCAGACACCTTCAACATTTCTCACATTATCACAGTTTATTCGCTATAGTTTTGAAAATGGTAATAAAATATGACAAGAACTCACAGTTATCAAATCAGTTGATATGTCACTTTATTTTGCTATCCTCACTTACATAAATTAACTATAGTGTCCTAGTAAAAAATGATATCTGGTGTCTGAATCATTTTTGATTTGACTGTATTCTTGTAGACCCTAAAAACGAAATCAAGACTTTGTAAAAGGGCATAATATGGACTCTTAATTAAAGCTCCAGTCCGTAACTTTTTTAAGTAAAAAATAATCCAAAATAATTATATTTAAAAAAACTTATTCTGCCAGTGGTCAAAACTATCTGCTTGCCATAGCTAGATTCAAAACGGTTAGCTTGTAATAATGATTTTAATTCCAGTGGTACTGGTGGGTTTCCGCGGGAAATTCGAGCATGTCTTTGCGTCATGACGTCACACCCGTACACATAAAGAAGGAGTTTCGGCTAGCCGGCTATACTGCGCGTGACGAGATGTTTAGATGTATAGGCTTTTCTCGCAGCACTTTACATAATTAAACTTATGGCATCCAGAAAGATCCAGACAACAATCATCAGTGTCAACTGGAGATTCAGCAGTTATAAAACCCAAAAGACTTCGTACTTCGGATTTAAGGTGGCTAGAGAAAGAGAAAGAAACCGTCTCATGCGAACACAAGGATTTAAACATCGGCGGGGCTTTTGAAAAGTGTGTGAACTCCGTGTTTTGAAGGGGTTCAAAACGGAAGAAGAGACGGCTTTTTTCTGCTGAACAAGTAAGACATTTCAATAGTTCAATCGTGTAACAGTACGTTTTCTTAATTCACACAGTTATGGAGTTTCCTTTGTTGTGCCTTTCTCGTTTTGCTATTATGGAGAATATGAATTCTGAACTACACAGGTAACCATAAAACACATTAAATTTAACATTAGTCACGCAATGCTGATGTGATGTTGTTAACATGAACAATTTGAGAACAAAGTAGGCTATAATTTGCACGGTTGCTGTAAATCACGTTGATTAAATCTAACGAAGCTTATCATGTCGAATGCTTTTTCCCCCTTAGTTGGTCAGAGAACAAAAATGGATGTTACTTACTTGTTCAGAAGACATTTTCTTATGAAAATTCTTATGTTGGTCAAACTTTCAAAAAGTGAATCTGTGATTCTGTATGCCAGTATCCACACAGCGCGGTGACTGACAGCAGCACTCGCCTCAAAGCACTGTGTTCATCCGCGCTGTTTCATGCCGATTTACAACCCACGTAAAGATGATAATTCCGCGAATCACTGCAGTTACAGACTTCGAACAGAGAGATGGCGACAAAGAGGAAAAGCTACGGACTGCAGCTTTAAAAGAGTGAAATGCATATTATTTTCTCTGCTTTTGTTCTCATTTCTGATTAAAATGTAAATCAGTTGTGCACAGATCTATCATCCAGCTGTTTCTTTTCTTTAAAACAGATGGACAAAAACAGAGCTGAACTGCTGGAGTTCTTAAACTCCACCTTCTGATTCAGTCCAGAGTCCAGACCTGGAACTACAGAACCAGTTTTTTTTTTTTTATTATTCACCTGACCACCACTCAGGGAAAGATCATCTTCAACTATTAATGTTGTTGCCTGATGTTATACATTGACAATTCCTTTCCATAAATTCTTCATGTAGATAATTGTTGTCCTTTTTTTAATTCCAGGCTGTGTCCTGCAGTACTTATGTTATGTGTCTGATAAAACTGTACCCTATGAGAACTGTAGCTTGGGTGTGACATTGTTACATGTTACTGAAATTGTATAAAAAAAAAAATAAGTATTCTTGTATTCTCATTTTTAAATGCAAAGCTCAAGTAAATAATAATTGAATCAGTAAGGAAATGTTCTGAGAGATGCAGAAAGATGTTATGTGATTGATATATGAACAGTTTGGCCTGATTCACCTGGGAAATTAAGGTTGTATTTTACTTTCTTTCTTTTTTTTTAAACAATTTAAATTTGAAACATCATTGTGGTGGTGTTGTTCCAATGGTGTTTCCCTTGTTATCCTGATAATCTGCATTTACTGCGGTGATCCGCCGAATGCAAAGGCGCCACCAACAGGTTGTGGAGATCTGCCATTGTGAATCATGTGCATCTGATCGTTCTCATGACAATAGGTTATTGTTAAATAAATCGTGTCCTTTATTTTATAGTCTCAAACAGGTTTTGATGCCACATAAATCATCAGCAATGCATTTAAGTACTGAGTAATATTAAGCAACTACATGTACTTACTTTGGGGTTAGGGTAGGATTAGGTTGAGGGTTAGTTGCATGTAATTATGCATAAGTTACTGTTATTACTATGGTAAGTATATGTAACAAGGACACTGTAAAATAAAGTGTTACTTTTTATAGCTGGGGAAGTGTTTGAAGATACTTTTATTTTCCACAGGCTTTGTTGCTGCATGAATTAATACACATTAATCAGCATCCAAGCACTCTTACACACATTTCTTTGTCAACAGACAAAAACTTTAGCTATATTGTTATATTCATCATATATAGTACTAGTATAGGTATATAGTTTATAATGCATTTTCTCACTATTGTCATGTTTGGGGGATACATTCCTGAAGATATTTGAGAAAGTTTGGAATTCAGTTCTGCAGTTACACAGTTATTTTGATGGTTCCCTTTAGACATTCTGTTGATTATAAGTAACGTTGCACCTGCATGTCTACAAACTCAGAGTATTAGTAGACGGTTAGGGTAGAATGCCTTTTGGGGGAGCATCAAAATAAACTGTAACCAGTTCCTCTACTTGACAGCTCTCATATCAATGCATTTTAAAACCTAACGAAATTCCTTAAAATGTTCTTCAGCCTACTGTGTAATTGCTAATATATTTGCTAATAAAACGGCATTGGGGTGGGACAAATCAGAATCTTTAGGTCCTTGTTATTGTTAGTCAAAAAGAGAGCATTTTATTTGGCAACATTTGGATATGCCTATGTGTCATCAATATTATTTGGTCAGAAGAGAAACCTGTCCATTTTAAATTATATATGTATATATAAACATGAAATTTTGGAACTTTTAGAAGTACATCAGCATGGCCTCCTAACTAGACATTAGCTAATGTGCAACATCATTGTTTGAGCAAGGGAAGGTTGGTACTCTTTAGAAAGAACGTGAAAGGTATAATTGTCTTTTACAATAATCAAAAAAGTATAAGATACAATAGAGGCATTTGTTAAAAATGTAGGTTATCGTCACTGTATCGCAGTATCAAAGCTCTTTTATTTTTTCCAGCACAATAAAAACGTATATTGTTCTTATAGTGCAACATCCTAAATTCTACAGTTACACTGATTGTACTGTGACTCAAATTTAAATGTCTTGCAAACACCTCATTACTTACTCAATTGCACATACATTGTAAGACAACAAGAAAAAAAATCTATAAAATCACAAGTATCTGAACATTTCCACACCAAATACAGGCCCACTTGGTTTGAAAAAGGGGACGATGCTAATAAAAAGCTAAAAACTAGACCTGCACTGGAATATATTAAAAAATAATAATAATAATAATTTTAAACCATAAAGGTCATATAAAAACTTTTTTCAAGGGAAAATTTGTATCATTTCAGACTAACAAATTTAATCTAATGGTGAGTGACCAGATAAATATATCTTATTCTATTTTAGGAATTTACAGCACAAATTCAAAAATAAACTGGGTTTATGATCTGTAATCCTTGTAAGACTTATTGATTTGTGATGCGTTGCTTATAAAACTTCAGTTTTATTTCCCAACATGAACATGCCTCTTGCCTCCATGCTTAGACCTCGGAATATAGACACGCTGGAAGTGAAGGTGATGCTGGGAAGATCAGTCAGTCGTTGACTTGGACCGGATCCCGCTGAATCCCACTCACAGACACTCAAGCTTTACCATTGATTCCCTTGTGCCGGATCTCTGGCATGCTCCACACGCGCTGCGCTTTCTCCGCTGTCAGGCTAAGGCCCTTCTCAACATCCTCACACACAGTCTTGACGTCCATGCCATCTTCCTCTGAGCCGTAACTGCTCGATTTCAGTCCCAAGGTGCTGCCGAAAGGGTTGATCCGCACGCGAGACTTGAAGTTCATCAGCGACAGGCTTATGGAGCGTCTGTTGTTCCCCTGGTGGGTCAGACGCTGAGCCTCCTGCTCCTCATGAACGCGCTCAAGTGTTTCCACAAGCACAGAACGGAAGAGTCCGGAAACCTCTTGCACCTCAGGTTCGTTCTCCATCAGCACCTGCCGAAACCTGTGAAGAGAGGAAGGTTTTATAACACTGTTGTCCAAGGAGCTTCATGTCATTGAAAACGTTTATTTCATGATGTACCATCCTGCTCAGTCCAACAAAGTGCATTTATTGAAACTAAGCTGTTAAACATCTCTTTCTAAAACCTGTGCTTTGTAACATGTGCTGAAGTAAATGTTGTAAATGCTTTCTGGTCGTGAGCGTAATACGCCAAGATTTCGAAGAAACGTGCTAAACAACATGACTTGCGTCTCCACAAGGATCCTATGAGATCCTGTTTCTGCCTCAGAGTAAAACATAAATAGGTCATTGTGAGATAAAGTCACATTACGACATGTAAAGTCATTATTACGAAACAACTGCTTATATATAAAGTGACAATGTGAGATATTAAGTTGCAATTGGAAGCTATAATGTTGCAATTGTGAGATATGAAGTCAAAATCAAAGCAAGAATCAAAGCAACAATTGTGAGATTTAAAGGCACAGTTTGAAAATATAGTCACAATTGCAATATATATAGGCACATTATGAGATGTAAAGCCAGAATTAAGAGAAACCTTCTCCACTGGTCATATTACACAGCACAAAACATCAGCCTATCTTCACCATGTTAATTGTCACCTGTGGTCCCTATGGGAGCAAACATAAGCCCTTGAGTCAGAGTAAACTAAGATGTTCTTAGGGAGTCTTAAAATAGGTTTCCAAGCAAGGTTCTCCAACTAAATCAATGAATCAGTTCTTAATCTTCCTTCTCATTCTTTCATTAATCATTACAGTCCTCTAAAAACTCTCACTTTTCACAGGTCCTCATGGGAAGGGCTAGATCATCCTACGCTTCTTCAAAAAAAGTTTTCTCTGACAAAGTTGTAGGAATAACTTAAAGGATTTTAAGGATAGTTTGCTTGAAACTGAAAATTCCGTCAATATTTACTCAACCTTACGTTGTTCCAAACTTGTATGCAGTTATTTGTTATTTGTACACTAGATCTTCAGTTCAGTGATCATAGGCTGTCAAACTCCAAAAACTACACACACAAAAATCACCATAAAAGTAGTCCAAACCTTCTAATCTAAAGCCATACAATAACTTGCTGAGAGGAAGAGTCAGTCAAGTCACTTTTATTTATATAGCGTTTTATACAAGACTGTTTCAAAGCAGCTTTACAGTGATAAATAGGTTATAATGAATTAATGATGCAAAAATGTAAAGCAGCTCTGAAAAGACAATAATAAACAGTCATTATTCAAGTGAAATCAGTTCAGTGTTGATTCAGTTTGGTTCAATAACTGTGTAAAGAAACGCATAATTCAGATGGTGCTTTCACAATGCTTTTTGTCCTTTTTAACCCTTAAATGCTTGAATGTTTCGCCAATCATTATTACATAGTCGGGTCTTTAGTGATATACAGTATAACCTACCTGTCACAATAATATACAACTCTCCTGATATTAGAGTAACAATTCGCCTTTGGCTAAGCCCCGCCCCCCTTAGTTACTGTTGCTACGTCCGACAAACAAACTTCATCTGGGCTCTGGTATCAACATGGCTTATGCTGTGACAGCTCTTCCTGCTGAAATTTTATCAAACCTTTATAAAGCAGCAAATAAAGTGTCCGATAGAAGTAGGCAAAAGGGGCTGCGATATACGTTCGAAGGCTATATTCACGACATACAGGTGAAACCCAAGGAACAACAAGGCATCCAAATAGAGGCAAAAGCATACCGGTCACAGTCAAAAAATGAACCACCGCATATCCTACTAATCGAGACGGAGGCTGGGACTAACAATATCAAGGAGCAACACTGTTCATGCAAAGCTGGGTAGGTCTCTATTCACTTCTATAATCGTTATTACAAAGCAAACGGACTACGCGAGTATAACGTTGTATTTATTAGCAGCGTGTGCTAGACGACACTTGTCAGGATTTGACTTCGGTTTTGGGAAGGGAAAAAAACACACACCCCCCTCCAACCTCTCTGGGAAACGCGTATCTGTGTTACAAATGCCCCAGGCACAACGTTTAACCATATTTTTGATAAAACTACGACGGTAATAGCCTGCCGATACCAAAAATATGAGACGCCTGTGTTAAAGTCAATGGAGCGCTGTGAAAAAGTGTCGGACCTCTGTGGGAGCTCGTTCTTGGCTGCGCTGTGATTGGTCAATCTACATTCTAGGGAGTGGCTTAGCCAAAGGCGAATTACAGAAGAATAAAATAATGCTTTTTTTTTTACCTTATGGAGCTTTGAAGGGTTTGTCGTTGCAAACTTTTCTTCCTCCGCAGAAAACAAATATATTTTGAAGAATGTTGGTAACTGAACCACTTTGGTTACAATGGACTTCCATTGTACGGACAAAATATATATATTTTTTTTTAAACTGTAATGTTCCACAGAAGAAAGAAAGTCATAAAGGTTTGGAGCGACAAAGGAAATGATGACAGAATTTTCAATTTTGGGTGAACTATCCCTTTAATCCATTGGTGTTGTTTATAAGTGAAGGGGGGCTGAACAAAAACAAAAAAAAAATGGTTGCCATGCTGTTGCCACCCGAACAGAAAGGAACATCGTCAGTTGGGGCTTTTCTGAATCTGTCAGGTGTGTATCCCGTGAGGCCTGTGTGTGATTTACAATTATCACTTCAGAAGGTTAGAGCTTAGCTCACCTATAGAAAAAAAAGCATAGCGGTCTTTGTGCACTTACTAGAGACATCACAAAGACGGCTTAGTAAACTAATTACCCAGATCAACCTCCCCTAAACCTGCAGTGACGAACATCCTCATGTTGAAAACAAAAGGCGTAATATGGAGCGTTTAACCCATCTGTCTCACCTTTGTATTGCAGGCCCGCAGTATGCTGGTGGTACTTTGCTACACAGGTCCTCCAGGCCCAGTTTCTCTCCTTGGCTGATGTCGTACGAGGTGCGTGGGGCGCTCATGAGCCAGCTGTAGTCCACGCCGCTCTTCAGCCTGCGGTATTCATTGTCTCGCTCCCGCTGCAGCCTCTCGGCCTCTTTCATCTGCCAGCTCAGTTCCAGCATCAGGGTGTCCACAACTACTTCAGACGGCTCACGCCGCGGGCTACGATTGTACGGCTCGTTCCAGCTGAACCACGACATGCTCGGTCACAGGCCCTCTGCTGTTCACTTTTACCTGTAGGGGTACAGTAAAAGTTGACCTGGTTGCATAAAACAAAGAGTAATTCAGGTTGTGTTCTGGTCATTTTGACTAGGAGACATTTTTCCTTTTCCCCTGAAAATGCTAGTTAATGTTATCGCATTGAACTAAAACTTTGCTACCAAATTGACTTTGCTCACAATTTTGGTACCGTGTTACACTTTTGATGTTCCAGTTCAAAAATAGCCTGGCCAACAAAAAAAAAATTAATAATTGCGGTAACACTTTAGTTTAGGGTCCAATTCTCACTAAGTAATTGCTTATTAGCATGAATATTGCTAGGATATTGGCTGTTTATTAGTACATCTAAAGTAGATATTACTGTCTTATTAATACATCCCTTAATCTTACCCAATACCTAAACTTAACTGTCAGAAGCAAGGCTAGAACAAAGCTGTTAGGGGCTGAATGAAGGAGAAGGTAGAGGACCCAGTTGCAGAAACGAGAGCTCAGTCATGGAATACACTCAATGTCTCATTTAATTAATTAAGGAAGTAATTCCAAAACAGAATCCCCAAATGTTCCAATGAGTCAAAACAAAAAAATCCAAGAGAGGGTCCAGAAACAAAGGGTAAAGAGGTTTCCCAAAAGGGAAATTAAAAAACTTCCATGGGAAAAAATAAGGACAACAAAATGGAAAAAGTCAGGTAATCAAACAGAACAAATAAGTCCAGAGAAAATCACAGGAGGACTTTACCAAAATACTGAAGAGGTTGGTCTCCACATTACAAACACTGCGCAAAAAAACAGAGGAACAGAGCAACTTAAATACACTCACAGGAAATGAGGCACAGGTGAGAACAATAGCACATGATAAAATGGCGGGGAACTGAAATGAAACACAATGAGGGACTCTAGTCCATAAACCTAACACATATACCTTATCTATTAGTAATTAGGAGTTTATTGAGGCAAAAGTGGTAGTTAATAGTTGGAAAATAGTGAGAATTGGACCCTAATCTAAAGTGTGACCAAAATTTCATATAAATCTCTCATTATGCTTTGTTATTGCCAAATATTGGATTCAATCTTTTTATCAACTTTTTTATTTGAGTTAGGACAGGTTTTGAACTCGTTGATCGGAGCGTTTGAGTGAATAAAGTTTACTCGAGCTTATTCACCAAAAAAAAAACTGACATCAATGAGGCCGTTATCAATCAGTTCTAAAACGAAATACAAAATCTGTGCTAATTGAAACAAAATTAGTTGACAAAAAGATTGAATCCAGTGTTTGGCGATAATGAGAGATTAACAACCAATTTAAAAGCCAGTCATTTTTTACCAGGAACACCAAATCTGGTAAAGGATTTTCACAACAAATGTTGTGTGTAAAATAGATGATGGGACTCTGGGATTTGTGTTTTTGTAGACCTAACGCCTTTCCTTTTTCATTTCACCTTGCAATTTGTCCTAAAGTGGTTGAGAATGGAAAAATGTAGAACAAAATGAGAAGAACCCTGAACTCTACATTTTTCCATTCTCAAGCACAATAGGACAAATTCCCAATCCTAAACCTTTCAGACAGACAAACCTCTCAGGTCCTTTCCTCTACAGAATCTGTTTTGATGTGAATTTGTAAAGGACGCTGACCCAGATTTTACCAGACATCAGGTGGTGACCAAACATGGTAGATATCTATTTATTGTACAAAAGTAAACGTAAGGTCTTAAATTCAAATTCATTAATATTACCTTATCAAACTATATGCAAAATGGTAAACTTGATCAAGAAAACATTTAACAAGTGTCTCTTGAATTTCAATGTTTTCATGCTCTTAGCTCTTAGGATGAGGGCATGTCACGTAACCATGGACAGGTTGCTCTAGGTAATTTGGCTAGCTTCTACCGATTGATTTTGGGCCAAAATACTGACGCACAGAATGAGACATCAACAACAAAAGATACAAAGAATGTTTTCCCTCCATTTAAAACCTATATATTTATATTCTTACTTACTATGGTTACTATTAGTTGCATTTTATTAGTTGCATTTAGCCATACCACTACAAAGGATTTACTTTCAAACTATTTTCACTCAGAAATGGGCAATACATTTTCCAAAAAAAAATCCACAAACGGCAAGTAACACATTACATTAAATGTGACATTTTGAAGTAGAAAGACTGAAATAGTATTTTCTTGTGATTCATACTCCAATAATTTTTTTTTATGTATCTTATCTTATCTTATCTTAACATCATAACATTAATATTATTATAATTTTTTAATGGATCATTATGTGATCCATCAAAAAGAGATGATTGTGGCTTAAATGCTGAAATGAAAAACATTTTAAGCTTCTAAACTAAAAGTACTATCATCAATGTCCACCTGATACCAGTAACATCACTGTAAATCACTGCCGATGATTCTCAAAATGCAAAGTTTGTCATCTCAAAACGTGTTGAATTCATCACTCTTGTGTTTTCTTTCTCTTTGTCCACCCACCCACTCCTCCGCCATTCTCTTTTGCCATCTCCTCTTAATTAATTTCTCATTTGCTCGTTCTCCTTACCTTGATAAGTGATCCGGTTGTCTTGTAGGGCTTGTAGTTGTGCAATGGCCCAGGTCACATTTCCTCTTTGAGATTGCTCTGAAGTGCCTTTCTGTTTTCGGTTGCTATAGCGATGCTCCCAAAGCCTATTCTGCCACATGCATCATCAGCTGAAAGGCAGCAGACGGGATGGGAGGGCAGGAGAGAGGGGGAGGACGGGTCATGCGCTGCATAAACAGATTATGAGCGTGTGTGGGCTATGAGGTCATGTGACTAAGACGAGTAATCTTGTAAACAAGCTTTATTCTCTTTTTTTATTAATTGTAATCAGCATTTTAGGAAAGCCATCCTCCTGTAAACGAGCTCATCTGAACCATTGGAATGTTTTTATAGCTTAGAGAGCAATTACGTGACATTAAAACTGCAATTTTCAACATCTGATGATCATGATATTTAGCATGATTTGAGAATGTTCCAAAAAATCATGAGCCTGAATGCAAGCCAGCAAAAGTTCACATGCTACTGACAAAATATGTTCTAAGAGAGTTGTCGTTAAAGGGTTAGTTCACCCCAAAATTAAAATGCTGTCATCATTTACTCACCCTCATGTCATTCGAAATCAATAAGACTTTCGTTCAATTTCTTTTTAATGAACTCTGAGAGCTTTGTGCCCCTCCATTGACAGTCTAAGCAACTACCTCTTTGATGCTTAAAAAAGATTGTAAAAAAACTAATCCATATGAATTGGTTTAGTCCAAATTTTCTGAAGAGAGTGAAGAAGCTCAACCGAATTTGCTTGACGCGCAAGAACAAACCTCATTGGTTCTTGCTGAAGCTCAAACGTGCTGCGTATACAAGAATGAACCTCATTGGTTCTTGCTGAAGCTCAAACGTGCTGCGTATACAAGAATGAACCTCATTGGCTCTTGCTGAAGCTCAAACGTGCTGCGTATACAAGAATGAACCTCATTGGTTCTTGAGGAAGCTCAAACGTGCTCCGTAACACGAGAATGAACCTCATTGGTTCTTGCAGAAGCTCAAACGTGCTGCGTAACACGAGAATTAACCTCATTGGTTCTTGCTGAAGCTCAAACGTGCTGCGTAACACAAGAATGAACCTCATTGCTTCTTGCTGAAGCTCAAACGTGCTGCGTAACACAAGAATGAACCTCATTGCTTCTTGCTGAAGCTCAATTGGCTGCGTAACACGAGAATGAACCTCATTGGTTCTTGCTGAAGCTCAAACGTACTGCGTAACACGAGAATGAACCTCATTGGTTCTTGCAGAAGCTCAAACGTGCTGCGTAACACGAGAATGAACCTCATTGGTTCTTGAGGAAGCTCAAACATGCTGCGTAACACGAGAATGAACCTCATTGGCTCTTGCTGAAGCTCAAACGTGCTGCGTAACATGAGAATGAACCTCATTGGTTTTTGCTGAAGCTCAAACGTGCTGCGTAACACAAGAATGAACCTCATTGGCTCTTGCTGAAGCTCAAACGTGCTGCGTAACACAAGAATGAACCTCATTGGCTCTTGCTGAAGCTCAAACGTGCTGCGTAACATGAGAATGAACCTCATTGGTTTTTGCTGAAGCTCAAACGTGCTGCGTAACACAAGAATGAACCTCATTGGCTCTTGCTGAAGCTCAAATGTGCTGCGCAACACAAGAATGAACCTCATTGGTTCTTGCTGAAGCTCAAACGTGCTGCGCAACACAAGAATGAACCTCATTGGTTCTTGCGGAAGCTCAAACGTGCTGCGCAACACAAGAATGAACCTCATTGGTTCTTGCGGAAGCTCAAACGTGCTGCGCAACACAAGAATGAACCTCATTGGTTCTTGCTGAAGCTCAAACGTGCTGCGTAACACAAGAATGAACCTCATTGGTTCTTGCGGAAGCTCAAACGTCCTGCGCAACACAAGAATGAACCTCATTGGTTCTTGCGGAAGCTCAAACGTGCTGCGCAACACGAGAATGAACCTCATTGGTTCTTGCTGAAGGTCAAACGTGCTGCGCAACACGAGAATGAACCTCATTGGTTCTTGCGGAAGCTCAAACGTGCTGCGTAACACGAGAATGCACCTCATTGGTTCTTGCTGAAGGTCAAACGTGCTGCGTAAGACAAGAATAAACCTCATTGGTTCTTGCGGAAGCTCAAACGTGCTGCGTAACACGAGAATGAACCTCATTGGTTCTTGCGGAAGCTCAAACGTGCTGCGCAACACAAGAATGAACCTCATTGGTTCTTGCGGAAGCTCAAACGTGCTGCGTAACACGAGAATGAACCTCATTGGTTCTTGCGGAAGCTCAAACGTGCTGCGCAACACGAGAATGAACCTCATTGGTTCTTGCGGAAGCTCAAACGTGCTGCGTAACACAAGAATGAACCTCATTGGTTCTTGCGGAAGCTCAAACGTGCTGCGTAACACGAGAATGAACCTCATTGGTTCTTGCTGAAGGTCAAACGTGCTGCGTAACACAAGAATGAACCTCATTGGCTCTTGCTGAAGCTCAAACGTGCTGCGTAACACGAGAATGAACCTCATTGGTTCTTGCGGAAGCTCAAACGTGCTGCGTAACACGAGAATGAACCTCATTGGTTCTTGCAGAAGCTCAAACGTGCTGCGCAACACAAGAATTAACCTCATTGGCTCTTGCTGAAGCTCAAACGTGCTGCGCAACACAAGAATGAACCTCATTGGCTCTTGCGGAAGCTCAAACGTGCTGCGCAACACAAGAATGAACCTCATTGGTTCTTGCGGAAGCTCAAACGTGCTGCGTAACACGAGAATGAACCTCATTGGTTCTTGCGGAAGCTCAAACGTGCTGCGTAACACAAGAATGAACCTCATTGGTTCTGCTGAAGCTCAAACGTGCTGCGTAACACAAGAATGAACCTCATTGGTTCTTGCGGAAGCTCAAACGTGCTGCGTAACACAAGAATGAACCTCATTGGTTCTGCTGAAGCTCAAACGTGCTGCGTAACACAAGAATAAACCTCATTGGTTCTTGCGGAAGCTCAAACGTGCTGCGTAACACAAGAATGAACCTCATTGGTTCTTGCGGAAGCTCAAACGTGCTGCGTAACACAAGAATGAACCTCATTGGTTCTTGCTGAAGCTCAAACGTGCTGCGCAACACAAGAATGAACCTCATTGGTTCTTGCGGAAGCTCAAACGTGCTGCGTTACACAAGAATGAACCTCATTGGTTCTGCTGAAGCTCAAACGTGCTGCGTAACACAAGAATGAACCTCATTGGTTCTTGCTGAAGCTCAAACGTGCTGCGTTACACAAGAATGAACCTCATTGGTTCTGCTGAAGCTCAAACGTGCTGCGTTACACAAGAATGAACCTCATTGGTTCTTGCGGAAGCTCAAACGTGCTGCGTTACACAAGAATGAACCTCATTGGTTCTGCTGAAGCTCAAACGTGCTGCGTAACACAAGAATAAACCTCATTGGTTCTTGCTGAAGCTCAAACGTGCTGCGCAACACAAGAATGAACCTCATTGGTTCTTGCGGAAGCTCAAACGTGCTGCGTAACACAAGAATGAACCTCATTGGTTCTGCTGAAGCTCAAACGTGCTGCGCAACACAAGAATGAACCTCATTGGTTCTTGCTGAAGCTCAAACGTGCTGCGTAACACAAGAATGAACCTCATTGGTTCTTGCTGAAGCTCAAACGTGCTGCGTAACACAAGAATGAACCTCATTGGTTCTTGCGGAAGCTCAAACGTGCTGCGTAACACGAGAATGAACCTCATTGGTTCTTGCTGAAGCTCAAACGTGCTGCGTAACACAAGAATGAACCTCATTGGTTCTTGCGGAAGCTCAAACGTGCTGCGCAACACAAGAATGAACCTCATTGGTTCTTGCTGAAGCTCAAACGTGCTGCGCAACACAAGAATGAACCTCATTGGTTCTTGCTGAAGCTCAAACGTGCTGCGTAACACAAGAATGAACCTCATTGGTTCTTGCGGAAGCTCAAACGTGCTGCGTAACACGAGAATGAACCTCATTGGTTCTTGCTGAAGCTCAAACGTGCTGCGCAACACAAGAATGAACCTCATTGGTTCTTGCAGAAGCTCAAACGTGCTGCGCAACACAAGAATGAACCTCATTGGTTCTTGCAGAAGCTCAAACGTGCTGCGTAACACGAGAATGAACCTCATTGGTTCTCACACATTAAGCAAACATGCTTGAGCTTCCATTTACCACAACTAATGTGTGTGGTAATCAATGTTTATGTTAATAAAAGACTAAATTCAATCTGTTCATTATATGAAGCGATTGTGTCTCTTCAGAAACTTTTTGACCAAACCACTCAATTCATATGGATTAGTTTCACGATCTCTTTATAAACTTTTAACTTTTTTTTTTTTTTCTGAATGTTCTCTGTTTTATCATTTTACAAACATTAAGGGAATGACACTTTTGAATGAACATTCTGAAACAAGCAGGCTAGTAATATTAACAAAACATTTGTCAAACAGTTCATGAACGTATACATATTTTGGTGCTAACTTTTGAGAACATTATAAAAGACCGGGTAACTCAGAACAAACATTCAATTAAAGTTACTGGAAGAATGTTTGTTCATAACTTGAGAACATTCACTGATCGATAAAAATGGTGTTAGCCTATATTTCTTATCAATTTTACATACCAATTGTACAACTTTTCTTTGTCAACATTTTTTAAATCCGAACAAATATGTTTTCAGGTTTAAATAACAATAATAAAAAATAAAATAAAATGTCCCCGATTTTCAATATGGTGCTATTTTATTTGTTATTATCGGTGGTCATTGGTATACGATATGTTGATATTTCTAATATGTCCTCCACTATATAACAGATATTGGCACAGACGTGTTTTCAGTGAACTATCAGCTCGGCAGTGGACTGGAGGACAGCAGATGGAGAGGGTTTAATCCAAGCAGATGTCTCAGCTTAGCAGTAAAACCATGACATGCATGAGGCTAGTCGCTTAGCCTACGCTCACACAGCATGCCAATAGTCCATTATGTCTGCAAATATCTCATACATTTAAAAATCAATTTGATTGGCTCCATCCATCAGCTTCTCAGTGGGATTTTTTTGTGACCTTTTCTGCAGGTTACACCGTTACGCCAGTAGGTGGCGACAATTTAAATCAATCAAACAATTTGTTCGGAAACGAAATACTGTGTTGCTCAG